AAATACTTGAGAGAATTTATGAAGCGGGGGATGTGCAGGCCATCCTAAAGAGTCTGCATTTTACTCTGTCGGGTGCGTTATTTTCTGAAATGTATTCCACAGAATGCTTGTGCTAGAGGATGTTACCATGTTGAGGGCAAGCTCAGTTAAATCAAATCCCAGTTTACTTTAGGGGAGGCCTTAAATATGCTCATATGCATTGAGATTCTCTAAGAAGGGTTTTTGTAAATTGCTTTTCTCAAGCAAACCAATAGAATGCGGTAGTAGGTGCACGAGGAATATGAAAAAACTGCTCCAGTTTGGCACTTTCTGCTCAGTTAATTCTAATATTCTGTGTATCCTCGATACACCTGATATTCTTTGCCGTATTATCCTATGTATTTGGCACATAACAGGGTTCAGTGAACAAACGGAAGGAATGAAATATCTGAATAGCCCTCTATTTTCTCACCTATAAAATGGGAAAACAATAATACCAATTTTTAGAGGATCGAAGAGTTGGATAAAAGTGATCATAGAGCATTTTGTTACTATTTTTTTTAGTTAAAATCAAATGGAAAGAGAATTACAAATGAAAAAAGTTAATAGAAAAGATAGGGGAAAATATATAAGGGATTCCTGTCCAATTACTGTCTAACTGTGAAATCTTTGCTTAACCTTACTAAAGCTTATTTGGAAAGTGGCTAATCACACTTCCCTTGAAATGTTCTCATAATCTGCCTTGCACCATGACTGGGGGTTTACAGTGTTGTGGGTAAGAACACAGGCTGGGAGGCAGCTGCCTGGTTTGAAACTCAGCCCTGCCCTTTACTAGATGAGTGTGGCATTGGGCAATTTAATTGATTTCTTTCTGACTCAGTTTTCCTAATCTGCAAAGTGGGAGCAATAAGTATACTTAGCAATGGTGAGGATTACAGATAAAATAATACATGTTAGATATTTAAGAAGTTAGCTGCTGTTATTATTTCATATTTCCTACACAATACGAGAGACATGCTCAGGCTTGCCCTAATTTGTTCTTCCCAGACTGCAGCTGCCTGGCCAGTGGTTATATCCCATTTCCCCCTCCCTCCCAAACTGAGCGCTCACAACTCTTTTTTTTTTTTCGGTACGCGGGCCTCTCACTGCTGTGGCCTCTCCCATTGTGGAGCACAGGCTCTGGACGCACAGGTTCAGTGGCCATGGCTCACGGGCCCAGCCGCTCTGCAGCATATGGGATCTTCCTGGACCAGGGCACGAACCCATGTCCCCTGCATCGGCAGGCGGACTCTCAACCACTGCGCCACCAGGGAAGCCCTCACAACTCATTTTTAAGGAATATCCTCCCCTACCGAGATCAACAACTATTGGGTTAGACCCTCTATCCTCATCCAAACCCATTTACTTTTTTTTTTTTTTTTTCTGCGGAGCACAGGCTCTGGACGCTCAGGCCCAGCGGCCATGGCCCACAGGCCTGGCGGCTCTGCGGCATGCGGGATCCTCCCGGACCGGGGCACGAACCCGCGTCCCCTGCATCGGCAGGCGGACTCTCAAACACTGCGACACCAGGGAAGACCCCCATTTACTTTTATTTTTAAAAAATCCACCAGTGCTTATTCTTTTGATGGCCATTAATATACAAGTACATTAACATTCCTAGCTGATTTAAATCTGGATTATTTTCTCTCTGGATTACTGCCAATTTTTGCCAGTTCAATTGATGGTCAGTTAAAACCCAGAGGAAGTACTGACATCTAGAATTTGGAAGGACACAGAAAGGCAAACTAAAAACAGAAATCACACACCATCTTGTATATAGGGATGTGTGGTGAGAAGGGAAGAACAAACGAAATTGATGATCCAAGACATGTGTTAGATGGTTTGTTAGTTACAATGACTTGCTGGTGTCATTTAATCACTTGGGTGACAATTTTAAACATAATAGTTTGAATGGGCCACTCGCCTAGTTGCATCCTTTGTCCATGTTAATGCACTTTCCCCCAAATCGTTTGACTGTTCATGGAATTCCTCAAGTAGGCCAGTGAGGCGTCAATAAGCCAGCAGAGGTTTTTAAGGCCCTTCCAAGAATCCCCTGCACATGCTCCCCTCCACTTCAGATAGTGGGACTCGGCAGTGATGCCAACAGGTAAAGGGGAATGAACAGGAAGGACACTCTTTGATCCAGTATTAGTAATGGAGTCTAAGTTTTCAAAGTATGTACTTCAGATAGATGAGCAAAATCTATAATAGAGCAAGTTAAGGCCGACTGAATACTCACAAATAACCTGTGTATGTTTAAACTCACTTATTTGTATTTCCTTTTAAGGACAGTCCTAATATGAACAAAATTTATTTTAAATGATCAAGATATTTACATTAGGTTGGGTCTTCAAGGGCATATATATCATGTATATATGAAGTATATGGATATACCATATCCATATATATCCATGGAGATTTATACCTATATATGTATGTATATATCTCCAAAGGCAGAAGTTAGATTCAAGAGTGCTTTGCACATGAATACCAAAGAGAAATTATCAACCACAAAGTCAAATATTTGCATATGAAATAATGTCTGGATGAATAGAATTCTTGTGCTTGGCAGATAAAGGGCAAAAGATTGCTATTATTAGTGTTTTTTTAATTTACAGCCCTGTCAAAATTATGTGAAAATATTCCTCTCTCAAGAACTATTCTAGAGAGTCATTTTATACAAAGTGGGGTATGTGTGTCTGTGTGTGTGTGTGTGTGTGTGTGTGTATAGGGAGTTGCTCATATAGGTTTGCTCAAAGCTTTTCTGGTGCCATCTAATAAACTTGAGTTCCATGTAAGTGGTGGACTACCACCAGAAAGCCCTGACTTGAAACAGATTTCTAGCAGCAAGGCTGGATTAAAGATACATGTGAAAACAGGCTTCAAGGAGAGGAAAAATCCACTCATAATAAAAAGGTCATCAAGCCTTAATTGTAAGAATGTCTCTGACTCTGAAAACATTTCTTTCCACCAAAAAAACCCACTAACACTCATGACTTAATGTCCTCATTTAAGAAATGGAAGACATTAAATTAAATTTTAATTTATATTCCACTTTTATGTCTGTTTTCATCGTCCCTCTAATGCAAACTGTGTGCCGAACAATATAAATCATTGATCTCATTTCCACCCGACGACCTCATCAAACGAAAAGGTGATGATGCAATCTTATTTTGAAGCCAAGAGAGAGTAATAAACACCAGTACTTTTCGATGCACATTAAAAATAATCCTTTAGGACTTCCCTGGTGGTGCAGTGGTTAAGAATCTGCCTGCCAATGTAGGGGACATGGGTTTGAGCCCTGGTCCGGGAAGATCCCACATGCCATGGAGCAACTAAGCCATGTGCCACAACTACTGAGTCTGCGCTCTAGAGCCTGTGAGCCACAACTACTGAGCCCACGTGCTACAACTACTGAAGCCCACGAGCCTACAGCCCATGCTCCTCAACAAGAGAAGCCACCGCAATGAGAAGCCCGCACACCACAATGAAGAGTAGCCCCTGCTCGCCGCAACTAGAGAAAGCCCATGTGCAGCAACAAAGATCCAATGCAGCCGAAAATAAATAAATTAAAAATTTTTTTAAGTCCTTTAAATTTCTTTGAAAGTAGCATCATTATTTTAAGTTAGAGCACAATTACCAAAGGGAAAAATAAGCCCAACACAAATGAAATCTTATACTATTTTAGTAATTTCAGTGGAAAACAAAACAAGAATTGTGTTTCCTCTGGGTTTACAGTGGCCCATACAGTAAAAAGCCTTTTGTCAAGTGTTGATTCTCTTCTCATTAAGGAACTGCCTGAAACTGTATTCTTGGGTCAACTTACTTTTGCTTCTCCTAATTATATCTGTGTCTCAGGATCCACGACATGGATTTAAACAGACCAATGGTTAAATGTAAACAGATGTGGTGACCAGACAGTGCCCAGCTATTCGTTTGTCTATAAAGTGGCAGAAATTGAACCTTTAATTAATAGGACTTGATTCTACCTAAATCCCTAATATAACTATTAAAATGTAGTCCCTTTCAATAAGATAAATGCCCAGATATTATTTTTAAAGATCCAACAATCAGTCCTCCACCAAGTCCAAATATCTTGTACCTTAATGATCTGTTTGTTTTGAGAACCAATAAAAAGCACTGTTTCAACCAGATTCTCATTTCCTAAGTATCCCTTCAATGCATAAGTAAAGCATCATTCCAGATGAAAACTCATTAGTCAATCTTGGTCTTGCCGTAACTGGATATTCCTGCTTCTAATAAGGTTGGAAGAATACCACCTGGGTAACTTGCAACAACTTCCCGGTGCCCACATACTCCACTCTCTACGTGCTGACAGTGCCTTTAAAACCTCTGAGCAACATCAAAAACCTTATTATTTACTTATCTTGAAGCAAGGTTGCTTATCATCTAGAAAAGTTCTCAGAACCCTTCTTGTCTCTCTCCACTGTCTCTCACCTTTCTGAAGACTTTAAATAGAAGCAAGGCCTTGGCAACGGAATAATTTATCACGTGGTTCAAATTACATTTGTGCAGTGGTACGAGTTTACCTATTATCTTGCACACAGATCTAAATTATAACCAGAGAAGTAGGAATTACCCCCTTCCTATATACAAATGATGTTTTTAAAAGGTACACTTAAAAGCAGAATCTTTTGAAATCACTATATAATACTGAAAAACAGTATACATGTATTGTTATAGTAATTCAGCTGTATTGAAGTTCATGTTATATTGCTTCTTCAGATCTCTTATATTAACATTTAACCACAAATACTCTTTGTCAGATGCTTCAGATGCCAGGCACTGTGCTTGTCTATAGACTAAAAAGATGATGAATTCATAGTCTCTATAGACCAAAATATAAATGGATTCAATACAGACCAGATGACGAAATTGGAAGCCCATTCAGGGGACCATATCACAAACCCAGTGAGAAGAATGGGGTTCATCTTTCGGAGGAGACGTCTGAAAGGATCCGATCAGTCACAGCTTTCCTTCTTCTCTGCAATGATACACCAGTTGCCATGATCATTCCCAGAGCTCAGAATATGGAGCTCCGACACACTGTCCTTCAGCAGGCCACAGAGCTCGCCTTCTCGAAACACGTGGTAATAGCGCATAAAGGCACCAGAATCCAAAATGTCGGGCTGTTGTTCTTCGACAGAAATGGTGTCACCTGGGTTGGAATCTTTGGACTCAGCTGCAGAAATCCTCCTCCATATTTTACTAGCAGAAGGGGTACCCTCTTCTAAGTTACCTGCATCCGTACAATTCTCCCTGGTATTGGTGCTACCCAGAAAATTCCCATCTCCATTTCTCCTCACGCCTCTTGGATGGTCTCCATTTAGGTGTTTGTGTGTGGCGGGCGCTCTCAGCCATTCCAGGTGTTTTTGAGAAGTCTCCACAAACACTTCCTCATCTAAATTTTGCTCTCCTGTTGAAAATGGCTCTGGATGATCTAAGTCGAAACTTGAGTGTCTTGAAGGCTGGGTGGATATCGTGCTATTGGCCCAACTTTCTGTGTTTTTCAAGGGTCTCATTTTTTCAATTTGCTTCCTCAGAGTTGATTCATCCAAAGATCTAGAGGAAAACCAGGAACGAAAAGATTTCCCCAGCGTGTTATAGAATCCGTTTTCTTCCTCGCCTTCCTTGGAAATATTCGCACAGCAGGTGCCAGCTAGAGCAGAGTCACGGTCCACACTATGGGACCGCCTCGAATCACGGCGCCCCTTAAAACAAACGGGACAGCGACACGCAGAGCAGGGAGGTTGGTAGGGATGGCTTCTTTCTGGATGCCCGCACTGCTTCTTTCTCCCAGGCTGGCTGGATTCCGAGAGGGGCTGGGAGCACAAGGCTTTGTTCCATGGAACAAGCACGTCTTGCTTCTCAAAGTGCCGGTTCTTTTGTTCCATGGCCCAAACATAAATCATCAGCTGGCCTCCAGGAACTAAGACCCTGGCCATTTCTTTTATTGCTCTGATTCTTCTTTGTTTTGTAGAAAAATGATGTATGACTGAAAAAGAAGAAACTAGATCTCAGTGTGTATATACACACGTAAACCTACACATTTATAGACTAGTATTTTCCATATAAAAGTGATGCATCTTTTTTCCTAAATAAAGATTTTTATTAGAATTATATCACAACTGTTTTCTGGGTTGAAGAATGGTAAAGAGAGAGGTATGCTTTCTTTTTTAAAATTTTATATTGGACATAAATACACTACCAAACGTAAGGTAGATAGCTAGTGGGAAGCAGCCGCATAGCACAGGGAGATCAGCTCGGTGCTTTGTGACCACCTGGAGGGGTGGGATAGGGAGGGTGGGAGGGAGGGAGACGCAAGAGGGAAGAGATATGGGAACATACGTATATGTATAGCTGATTCACTTTGTTATACAGCAGAAGCTAACACACCATTGTAAAGCAATTATACTCCAATAAAGATGTAAATAAATAAATAAATAAAATAAATAAAATAAAGTTCAAAATAATTTTATGTTGGAGTATGGTTGATCAACAATATTGTGTTCGTTTCGAGTGTACAGCAAAGTGATTATACATATACACGTATCTATTCTTTTTCAAATTTTTTTCCCATCTAGGTTATCTATTACAGAATTTTGAGCAGAGTTCCCTGTGCTACACAATAGGTCCTTGCTGGTCATCTATCTTAAAACATGGCAGCGTGTACATGTCGATCCCGAACTCCCTAACTATTCCTTCTCCCCACCCTTCCCCGCCCTGGTAACCAGAAGTACATTCTCTAAATCTGTGAGTCTGTTTCTGTTCTGTAAATAAGTTCATTTGTATCATTTTTTAAAAAAATTCTACACATAAGTGATATCACATATTTGTCTTTGACTGACTTCACTTAGTATGATGCAATTTTGACATGTAGTAATGATTCCTTATAGTTTTTAATAATGTTAATATAATATGAAATTGTGTATACTTAAGAAAAAGCAGCTTATAGGTCATCATTTTACTTGCAGTCTCTGCAAAGTTAAAGTGAGAGTCAAGCAGGACTGCCTGTATCTAGTCTTAGGTGGGTTATTATGCATATTTTTATCAAACAGTATATAGGAAGCACTGGTCTGTCAGCTTCTAGAGTTTAATCACACTGTGTCAAGAGAAAACATCAAATTATTTTTCCACACATATGCCTATCACTCATCTCAGGTAGGAAATTAGCACTCAGGAAAGTCTGGACACTACTGCTCAGATATGAGTAGTGAGGGAACAGAGAAGATTAAACAGCTCCTGTAACCTCAGCATAATCCAGAGGTTAGTAATGGTTTCAGGCAAATAAATCTCTTTAGTTTACCTGCCACAGAGAGATAGTAAATGCCTAAAATGAGATGATTATATGGCTAAAGGTGTCAAAGGAAGATTATACAAGAGGCACACTTTGTATTGTTCCCAATCAGGTTTGCTTTCCTATCAGCAGTGCACAAACCCTTGTTTCTCTTACTGTACCATGCAGCAGTGCAAGAGGTATTAGGTTCAAATGCATTTAAAGAACAGGACACCAGTGTATTTTGTCCTAGATCTACCAGTGACCAGCCTTGCGATCTTTGACCAATTGCTTTACTTCACTAGGTGTCAGGCTGTTCTCCCCAATCCCTATCCCCAAAGAAAGGGCCCTTTATAATGGTCAGTTTAAAAGCTTACACTTCTCGAAGTAGTGTCATTGTCAATGAGCTAAAAGGGGGCAGAGAAGTCAGGACTGAGTAAGACTTAGGACAGTACTAACGTTCACATCTATGACTACTCCTGGCCGTTAATGTCCCCCATAACTTGCACCTCATTCACTCTGGAACTTCCATGGGTGTGTTTTCTAAATGCAGGTGATCCTCGTCATCTGTGGATTCTGTATCTGCAAATTTGCCTACTTGCTAAAATTGTCTTGTGACTTCAGAACTCAGTACGCTCAGCAGTTTTGTAGTCATTCCTTGACATGCATAGAACAGCCAAAAAGTTAAGCCTCCCAAGGCACACGTTCCCAGCTGGGGTCCAGCGAAGGAGATGCTCTGCCTTCCTGTCTCAGCTCTGGTGCTGTCAACAAGTGTCCTTTTCACAGTCTGTTTCGTGCCGTGTGTTTTCGCATTTTGGTGTTTTGTTGGTGGTCTCTCTGTTGACGATCCCTCACAGCCCTGCCCCAGCACCGGCTGGAAGTGCTGTCTAGGGTTCGTAAGCTGTAACGCTGCGATGTGTCTTACAGAGAAAATATGTGAGTTAGATGAGCTCCTTTTGGGTGTTATAGTGCTGCTGGCATGAGTTCAAAATTAAATGTCATCTTTAAACAGAAACGCACATAAAATAAGATGATGTGTTGATTAGTTGACAAAAGTATTGTGACCAGAGGCTTACAAGAACCTAATCCTATATTTCCCCTGGGAGCGATGGTTCAGTATTTGTTAATTCAGTGTTCATGGGACATTATAGAACATAACCACGGTGAATAATGAGAATCGACTGTATTCTTGTGTTTTGGCCATTAAACAAAAAACGCCATTAAACCAGGACTATTTTAATACAGTAATTTCTTTTTATCAGATTTTCAGGATTCTTGGCTTCAGAAGTTGTTGGGTTTTTTTTTTTTAATATTTATTTATGTATTTGGCTGTGCTGGGTCTTAGTTGCCGCATGCAGGATCTTTAGTTGTGGCATGTGGGATCTAGTTCCCTGACCAGGGATCAAACCTGGGGCCCCTGCAGTGGGAGCGCGGAGTCTTAGCCACTGGACCACCAGGGAAGTCCCCAGAAGTTTTGTTTTTAAGGAAGAACATCTTTATATTTTTCATTCCTGAAATATTTGTTATGCGATAATCCATTTTAATACCATAATTTCACCCAGGAAATATCTGAATCTTTCATATTGTATTTTATATTTATATTTAACATATAATACTAAGTAAATTTTAAGCCAAATGCTTTTGAAAAAGAAAAAATTTACAAATGAAGTTTTCATTACATATGAAATGTATTATACATGCCTATGCATACATGTTCTATTAAGAAACATTGTAAATGTAACCCAAATGAGACCTAAACATATATTTATATGAATTTTATCAATGTCAGGAAACTGTGTTGAATTTTAAAGGATAAAAATGTCCCCTGTTGTTTAAAAATCATAATCACAATTTAAAGGCAAAAGTAGTACTCAGTATATGTGTCCTGTAGGATAGGGTGTTGAACTGAACAAGTGGGTAGGTAGAATTCAATGACTGGACTCCAGAATCAGAAATTACACAAGATCATCTTTAAAGTCCTGTTATATCTTGGGATTTTATGATGTATTGTTATTTAATTTTTCAAGGGTGTTTGTCTCATCTAACTGGAAGCATTCAGAATCCGTGGGTTTAGCATGAAGCAGAATTTTTCAACCTCAGCATTGTTGGTGTTTGTAAACAAGCTAGATGATTCTTTCTTGTGGGAGCTGGGGAGGCAGCAACTAGATGACAGCAGCACATACACATACCCAGTTGTGACAACCAAAAATGTCTCCAGACATTGACAGGCATCGCCTGAGGATGGGGGGCAGTGTAACCGCAAGTTGAGAACCACTGGCATGAATAGTTGGTTGACACTATTTCAGTAGATGAACAAATTTTTATAAAACTTTGGTCATACTATCCTTTTTTTTTTTTAACATCTTTATTTGAGTATGATTGCTTTACAATGGTGTGTTAGTTTCTGCTGTATAACAAAGTGGATCAGCTCTCCAGACACATGTCATACTATTCTAAAAGTAAGCAGAAAGACTATTTCTTTTTGTAATCTGTGAGTAAAACATAAGGAATGTATAATTAGGTATGATGCTTACCGTCTCATTATTAAGTGACATGGAAAACTATATATTTAAAACAATATTTCTTTATGTTAAGCAAGAAATGCCAACATACAGAATTCTAAATAGGGGAGTAAATATATATGGACATAGGAGAGATGGTTTATTGAAAGTTCTCATAATATAGTTCTAAATGTAAAATCTAATTGGAAATTGACTGCACCACGTTAATTTATAGTTACAGTTCATAAAAACACATGCTGGGTTTCCACCTAAGGAAGCATTTTTCATTGGAAGATGGCAACCAGGTGTGCTCCATTTCCTCTGTGAGCAGGAGACTTAAACTGAAAGAAAAGAAGGACTTAATCATGTACAACATGGAGCATTTCTCCAAAGTAAGAAAGTTAGTCAGTAACCCCACGCCTGCAACAGTGGTTCAACAGCACAGCCTCTTTGTAGGTAGCCAGCTGTATAGACTCTACAACTAAAGTAAACAATAGAAGAGCAAAAAAATACACTTCTCTGACCTCCTCCAATTTCTGGCTCTTTATGTGGCATGACCAAACCAAAAATTCTTCCTACTAAAGATTCAGAGCATTGTGTAGTGTTGCTTGGTTCAACAAGAATCCATTCTCTTAATGCTTAAAACCAAATGGACTTAACAGTTTCAAACGCAAAGAAGTAGGGCTGTCAAAGAGCAGGTTTCCATGGCAACCACCTCCTGCCAGTCCTAACTAGTTCCAAGGTTATGGCATCCAAGCCAGCATCCCCTCCCTATGCAAAGATACAGGCCCCAGCTAATGGTGGAAATACCGATTTCTCATCTAGTCCAGGATGGAGCAAACCGTCTTATTCCATATGTTTATCTGCAGTCAGTTTTATATAGAGTCACCTTGCTTTGATAAAGCTTGTTATATTCAAATACATTAATTTTTTAAAAGTGTGTTGGAGGAAATAATTTTCCCTGCAAAAGAGTTTTCGCTTTGGGAAAGGATTTGCCACAAGATTTCCTTAAATAACATGATTCCCCAGCATACTTAAACATGACTAACACACTAAGTTTCAGGACTATATGTATTGAGTAAAATGACCCTTACCTGTGTATATTTCAAGCATGGATTTTTGCTGTTTCTTTTCATTTTTGGCATGTATATCTTATGGGCACACTTTTTGGGAGAATATGAGGAATGTATTCCCTAGATTTATGAACAATCTCTGGCAGTAAGAGAGCAGAGTGGCACTATGAAAACAATGCAATCTGGGACCAGGTGGGACCATCTTCCCCAGCGACTTTTGAACAGTGAGTGGCAGGTTGGTGACACATCCTTCCAGTGACATTCAGTGCCTTAGTCCTACAATATTCTGCTAATAAAGGGCACACCTGTGGCCTGGAAAAAGTAATATGACTTCTAAAGATCTACGTCACGTTGAAAGAATCTGGCTTCATTTCAATAGAACAAAGTACTATTTTCAATGAGTACAATTCCTCCAATACTTTCTTACTCGTGAGTGAAAGAAATTGGAATGAGTCATCAAAAAGAAGAAAACAACAGTTTGAGGGCTGAACTAGTAAAAACAATCATATATACCACCATAAGGACATTTGAACTTAGTTAAATAGTTCAGTTGCAATATTTTTAAAAATTAGATAAAATGAATTACATAGATCTTTCTACAAAGAATGGATGTTGAGTTGTGAGAGCAGCCTCAACCAGGTAACGTTATTCTCATGGTGAAGAGTGAATGTGTGATGGGGCTGCCTTACCTCCTATGGAGATGATGGCGTCGAAGCCCTGATCCCTAAAGGGGAGATTAAGGTTGTCACATACCATGACTTCACATCCTCTACTCCGGGCAATCTCTACCAATGGTGCACAGTAGTCACAGCCCAGGGTATGTACCTGGCTGTTCACTTTAAGATACTTTCCAGTTCCACAACCTGTAAGAGAAAAACCTGTGTTACACTCTATCCTTAATGGAAAGTGGAACATTGTCGGTTACTTTGTCTTATCACAGGGAATAGAAATAACTTGATACAGGCAAACCTCGGAGATGCTGCGGGCTCCATTCCAGACCATTGCAATAAAGCGAATGTCACAATGAAGCGAGTCACATGACTCTTTTGGCTTCTCAGTGCATTTAAAAGTTACATTTACACTATACTGTGGTCTGTTCAGTGTCCAACGGCATTATGTCTACAAAAACAATGTACATACCTTAATTTTAAAACAGTGTATTTTGCTAAAAAATGTTAACCATCATCTGAGCCTTGAGCAAGTCATAATGTTTTTGCTGGTGGAGGGTTTTGAGAATTACCAAAATGTGACACAGAGACACACGAAGTGAGCAAATGATGTTGGAAAACTAGCACCAATAGACTGGCTCAGTGCAGGGTTGCCACAAACCTTTAGTTGGTACAAAACACAATACAGAATCTGGGAAGTGCAATAAAATGAGGTCTGCCTGTATTAACTAACCAAGACAGAACACAACATGGATTGAAGGTACACACAAAAACAAAAAGAAAAGCCTTCAGAGAGCACATACATGTTTTTATATAGGAGATAAGAGGAAATGAAAATGGGAAAAAGAAATATTATTTATTGTATATTTAATAAGGTCATGTCCATAGGGCTTTCTTAACAGGATAGCACAATCAAGAAATGTCAGCTGGGGCTTCCCTGGTGGCGCAGTGGTTGAGAGTCCGCCTGCCGATGCAGGGGACACGGGGTCGTGCCCCAGTCCGGGAAGATCCCACATGCCACGGAGCGGCTGGGCCCGTGAGCCATGGCCACTGGGCCAGCGTGTCCGGAGCCTGTGCTCCGCAACGGGAGAGGCCACAGCAGTGAGAAGCCCGCGTACCGCAAAAAAAAAAAAAAAAAAAAAAAAAAAAAGAAATGTCAGCTGGCCTCCAGCAGAGAATAATAGTTCCCTAGGATCCTAGTGACAAGGTCCAGTCTCTTTACAAAAGTTACCTTCACATACGTATTTCATTATGTTTAGGTCTGCATGTTCTGGGCATTTATTCTTGTGTTATCTTGCCAAACCTTCATCACTTGCTGGCTATATAAAACAGACTACTGTCAACAACTTTTCAATGGGTATAGATAAAATAACTTACACAATAAAACAGGCCTTTCAAAAATTTAAAATTTGAATTTGAATGAAAAAAGGATTTCAGCATCTTTTTATCCAATCTGGTATCAGTGCTAGGTTTTAAATGATCTCTATTAACTCTGAATACAACTCTGTCAAAGAACTATTTTTTCTTCAATAGACCATTTTTAAAAAATATATCTATTTGTTTATTTGGCTGCACCGGGTCTTAGTTGTGGCACACGGGATCTTTAGTTGCAGCATGCAGGATCTAGTTCCCTGACCAGGGATTGAACCCAGGCCCCCTGCATTGGGAGCTCGGAGTCTTAACCACCGGACCACCAGGGAAGTCCCGTAAATAGACCATTTTTGACATTCACTTTCTGGTGGTAGAGACCCAAGTAATTCAAGATTTACACAGACCAAAGATTTAGATCAGTCAGATCTCACAGATATTATGGTGAAGAAGGTAGTAACATAAAGGAATAATCATCTTGAAACAAAGCCTTCTGTGATCTAGTACCTAGTATTTTATTCTAGCATAGACATGTCATCTATTTCTTTTTTCAGAAATATTTAAAGATGTCATTAGAGTTGATATCCCTACCTGCTGGCATTAGCTCTAAATTTTTTTGCCTGAAAAATATCTACCACTATTCAAAGATGATTAGTTTGCTGCTTTTGAAATACATCTCAACACTCTTTGATAAGTCCTCCTTAATAGGTGCTATTCAAAATTATGAGACACTAAAGGCATAATTAAGATTCATTGATGCCAGCTGAGACAGTGGAGAGCTTGTGAATAAAAAATAAGATTTCCAGCTTCATTATTTCAATGTAAATGATTGAGGTCTTGGAAATATTTTAGATCTCATAGCCACTGTTCCTAAGAATGCTTTTGCAAAAAAGGATCCAATATTTGAGGGCAATCATGGGGAAAATATAATTCACAGAGTATTTTAAAATTGAAATCCCGAACATTTCAAAGACGATGCTCATATTTTAAGAAAAATAATCTTGTAAATTTTTTTGCTGTTCTGAACTGGCCCAGGGGATGCATTTAGAGAAATGAAAGGGAAAATTACTTCAAAGATACTAATAAAAACGGGTTCATAGAACACTGGAGCTAGAGGGACATGTTCAGAGAGCATCTGGTAACAATGAGGAAACTGAGGTCTTTTCAGATCTCATCATCTCCTGAAATGTTTCCAGTGCCCCTGTTCCCTTTGATATCCTGTATTTGTTTCTCTCTTTTTTTTTAATTTGCAGCCATGCCGCGAGGCTTGTGGGATCTTAGTTCCCCGACTAGGGACTGAACCCGGGGCCACGGCAGTGAAAGCACCGAGTCCTAAACACTGGACTGCCAGGGAAGTCCCCTGTATTCATTTCTAGTGGCATTCATTTTTAAGGATAGTAATGGAACTCCTGAATATGATGCAATTATCCATTTTCTAAGTGCAGACACCGAGATGCTAGAGAGGGGAGATTTTATCCTAATGAGGAAATCAAGAATACTGCCAAGCCTAGTCACCTCATTATCTTAAACATGCAAGAAGTAAATCAGAACATTTTTGATACTGCAGCTCCTGTACACAACAGTCATGCTCCTTTACAAAATCTCATTAAATGATTACCTTCTGTAGTACTGCAGAGATACAATAGCAAGTGTCTGCATGCTTCTGTTCCCCTCTATTTTGTATTCTGCACCTCACTACAACTAAGGAAGAAAACAGATAATTGCCTCAATTCAACAAGATATTTTGGCCCATGGTGGGCGAGTATTTGCTAGAAATAATTAATCTGAATGTTCCCTCTGAAGTTTGCAGAAAGAACTACATTTTATAAATTAAGAGTTTTTTGCTAAGACCTTTATCTGAAAGAGAATTCTCTTTTTCTATGGGAAAAGGAAGAATATAGCCTATTTATTTCTCCTTTTATGTACATCTTTTGAAGTCAGAGATGAGGCAATATGTTTTATTCTGCAGGCCTGGTGCCTGCCATTTAGTAGGAGCTCTAAATGTTTATTGACTCAGAGAAGGAATGGTAATTAGAGAATAACTTAGCAAATGAAGTCTGACCATAGAATGTGGGAATAAATAATTGAGAGTTAAAAGGCAAAAAGAATTTTAATTATTGAAAAATTAATTTTAGTTATGTATACAAAAAGAAAAATTTCAATACTATTAGGATAGTTGTCTCTGATGTCACGTAAAAAGGTCACCTTGCTCAAAAAAGAATCTAGTTCTAGTCTTTATTCTGCTTCCTAAACTAATCCAAGTAAAGCCCTCAAACCACAGAACACCTTCCATGTATCATCTTTTTTTTTAAATGTTACAGTCCATTTTTATTCATAATTGATTAGTTTAATACTTTCTTGAATTGAGAGAAATATGGGTTTTATATATATAGGGATAAGGTTATAATAAAATGGTTTGGTTAACCAAATGTGGTTCAGTTTTATTTATTTTTTTATTTTATTTTTTTATTTTATTTTTATTTTTTTATTTTTTTGCGGTACGCGGGCCTCTCACTGCTGTGGCCTCTGCCGTCGCGGAGCACAGGTTCCGGACGCACAGGCTCAGCGGCCATGGCTCACAAGCCCAGCCGCTCCGCGGCATGTGGGATCTTCCCGGACCCGGGCACGAACCCGTGTCCCCCACATTGGCAGGCGGACTCTCAACCACTGCGCCACCAGGGAAGCCCATTTTATTTTATTAAAATAAAAAAATTTTGGAGTATAGTTGATTTACAGTGTTGTGTTACTTTCTGCTGCACAGCAAAGTGAGTTAGTTATACATATACATATATCCACTCTTTTTTTCTTAGATTCTTTTCCCATATGGGCCATTACAGAGTATTGAGTAGAGTTCTCTGTGCTATATAGCAGGGCCTTATTATTTATCTATTTTATATATAGTAATGTGTATATGTCAGTTCCAAACTCCCAGTTTATCCCTGGCATGCACCATCTTCTAATGGCCTTAAATTACTAACCCATTTCAGGAAAAGGTATTGCCTTAATTGCAAAGATCACAGGATTTCCTGACGGTACTTTGCATTTCTGCTGTCTTTGAATCATCAGCGCTCTTTATATTTAAACTACAGTTCCTGCTCACTTCATTCCTGATACCTGCCCTGAAGAGTTAGGTTACATCAGGAGCCATTATCACACACCTCAGCAGATCAGCTGGGAGTGGGCTGATGTGCTTAATAAAATTTAGCCAATAAAAAAATCGCACCACTAAAATAGCAAAGCAGCTAGATAATTCCTGTATGGGCAACTGGAACCCGATTACCTCTGCATGTTTTTTACCTATGCAGTTTTATTAGTCATTAATTATAAATTGCTAATCTAATAACCAGTCAAATTAAACTGTTGATGATTTCACCTAAGTGGAAAACCTAGAAAGAAAAAATATTTCCTTTTGGAGATAGTCATATTGTTCTACTTCCTTTTTTTTCTACTACTCCCTTTGGGCTTCTTTCTCTCCTTTTCATTGATTTCTTCTTAATTTCAATTTTATTTTAAAACTTGTCTTTCACTGTATAATCAAAATATTCTTATTTACTTATTGAGTGGTAAAAAGTGTAAATAGTACAAAAATCAAAAGATAGAAATGGGTAAAATAACATTTACTAGATATATTTATTGATTTGCACAGCAGTACTTAAAGAATTTTATTTGTGCCATAATTTGTAGTAGCAAAATGTAGCAAACAACATACATATCTGTTGGTATGGTGTTATCAGAATAGAAGGCTATGCAGCTTTTAATAGTTAGCAGCTCTATGAGAACAAACATGGAGTGATCTCAATATATTAAAAGAAACGAGTTAGGTGTATAGCAGTTTGTATAACATACTAATTTGTGTAATTGAGAAAGGGAAATCCACCCATGCACACACTTATATGCACAAATATGCTTATATTTATGTGAAATACCTCAAGAAGATTATACAAGAAGCTAAGAGCATGGTGCCTCTGATGTGGGTTACTTGGTGCTGGAAGACTGGGATGAGAGAATATTTTTCACTGTACATTTTTGTTGTTGTTAAGCCATTTAAATGGATTACCTATCAAAAATATTTTAGGGGCTCCCCTGGTGGCGCAGTGGTCGAGAGTCCGCCTGCCGATGCAGGGGACATGGGTTCGTGCCCCGGTCCGGGAAGGTCCCACATGCCACGGAGCGGCTGGGCCCTTGAGCCATGGCCGCTGAGCCGGCGCGTCCGGAGCCTGTGCTCCGCCACGGGAGAGGCCACAACAGTGAGAGGCCCGCGTACCACAAAAAAAAAAAAAAAAAAAATTTTAGGCAATTTGTATTCCCCCCATTTTTGAACTGTTTGTTCATATGGTTTCGTCATTTTGCAGGGGGGTTGTTGGTCTTTTTCATACTGACGTTGAAGAAGGCTCCACGGAGTAAGAAAATTGTCTATTTTTCTATCAGATATATTGCAGATATTTTTACCTAGTTTGTTTTTGGTTTTTTACTTCATTTATATATTTGTCTAGAAATTTGCCTTGTAGAACCTTTTAAATTTTATGTTGTCAAAAATACCAATGCAATTAATCCTCATTACTCACAGACGCTGTATCTGCCTCTTCACCTAGTTGCTAAAATTTATTTGCAGTGCCCAAGTCTGTACTGGCAGTGCATGCGTGTATAGCTTTAAACAGAAACACACATGAAACAAGGTTAGGTATTGATCAATTGACAAAAATATTGTGACCACAGGTTCCTAGGAACCTAATCCAGTATTTCCCCTAGGGCAATAACTCAGTATTCACTAATTCAGGGTTCACGGAAACTTTATAGAACCTAACTACTGTGGATAATGACAATCAACTGTATTTTATTTTATGACTTCTCCCTTTTTTTGTGTCATACATTGAGAGGCCTTTTGCTTTGGAGAATTTTTTTAATTATATAGTCATCATCTAGTCCTTTAATGAATTCATTTTCTTATACTTAAATCTTTGCTCCATTTGGAATTTTTGGTGTAAGGTATGAGAAAGTAGCATATATATTCTGTTGTCCCCAAACGTTTTCCTCCCAATTGATTTAAGATTCTGGTACTTTGCTTATATTATGAGTGGTAAGAGTTCCAAACTCACTGCATTTTATGAAACCAGATTTTTTTTTAAGTTGACATGATAGAGATGTTTTTAAAGACTCTCCACTTCTACGTGACATGTACCCCTTCCCCAAATTCTTCACCACTCGCACCATCTTTAACAAGCCAAAAGCCCTGGGCACATCTGTTTCTCTTACCAAAATTTAGAGTGAATGTCAAATTAGACGGAACTTGTAACTGTAGACTTACGATTCTTACGGTGCCGTATGCATGTAATTGCTAGAAAGCAGTTTTAAGTGGGCATGCTTCAAATAGGAATCCTACCATGTCTTAAAACTTAATCTTAGATCTCCTGGGCTGTGATTTACCACTTCTAGATTCCAAAAGATACTGAGCCAAAGTCCTCCAAGCAAATCATTATTTGCTTGATTATGAAGATATGATCTAATTAAAGATATGCTCTAATAATAAGACTCCTAAGGAATAGTTAAGGGAAAGGATCCATGAGATTCATAAGAGGTTACAGGACCCTTCTATAATCTCACAATTCTGGCTCTTCTGTAGAAAGCGTGAGACCTACTCATCATAAGCCACCAAAACACTGTATTCACGAATGTGAATGTCTCTAAGTTTATTATTTTTTTAAATCATTCAGTGTTTTTTAAAGTATTTTTTAAATTAATTAATTTATTTTTGGCTGTGTTGGGTCTTCGTTGCTGCGTGAGGGCTTTCTCTAGTTGCGGCGAGTGGGGGCTACTCTTCGTTGCGGTGCGCAGGCTTCTCATCGCGGTGGCTTCTCTTGTTGCAGAGCACGGGCTCTAGGCGCACGGGCTTCAGTACTTGTGGCACGTGGGCTCAGTAGTTGTGGCTTGCGGGCTGTAGCGCGCAGGCTCAGTAGCTGTGGTGCATGGGCTTAGTTGCTCCGTGGCATGTGGGACTTCCCGGACCAGGGCTCGAACCTGTGTCCCCTGCACTGGCAGGCGGATTCTTAACCACTGCGCCACCAGGGAAGTCCACTCTGAATTTAAAATGGTCAATTTCATAAGCGGCCATTTCAATCCTGATTTATTCAAGCAACGTCAGGTTGATTTTTGTGGGAGGATGTGCACGAAGGCTCTGAAAAAATTGCCACTGTCTATATGTAGATTTGAGGGGCTTTTCTACTTTCTGGCTTGACTATATGAATTTCTGCTATAAAGTGAATACTCCAGGTGCTGACATGCCAGGGACACAATTTCAGACTTCTGGTTAGAACAGAAATGAAAAATGAATCTGAAAAGGAAAGGCATGATGGAATATATTTCAGATTACGTGGCACCGCCCCGGGTTACCTATGTCAGCGATGAGGCTGCCAGGCTTCTGGTCCTGGAGGAACTGGCGGACACGAGGCCAGGCTTTGCTCTGCAAGTCGCTGAAGTAAGGAGCGGTGTTCTCATACACATCGTGCACGTGCTGCTTCTCCAGCTGGGCAGCTGCATGATCCATCCTGGGGAAAACAGGGCCACGCCAAGGAATGCAGTTCAGAGTAGGCACCAGAGATGGCTGATGGGGATGCAGATTTCCTAAAATTGGGAACTTACAACTGCCAAGATTGTGTTGCTTGTATACTTTTTTTTTTCTGGCCATGCCACGCGGCATGTGGGATCTTAGTTCCCTGACCAGGGATCAGAACCACACCCCCTGCACTGGAAGCACGGAGCCTTAACCAATGCACCACCAGGGAAGTCCCTGTTTTTATACTTTCTTACAAGCTGCGAAAAACACAGCCTTCATTGGAACCTCACCAGAGTAGTCAAAAGGCTAGCAAATGCATCCTTCTTACCTGCACATCTTCAGAAAACAGTCATTTGGGAATGAGCTAATTATAGTATGTTTCTTTGAAAGATCAATTCTTTCAGAGAAAGGTTCACTTTGGATAAAATCATTCTATCGGATGCTAAATAGATTTAAAAATTTCATAGCACGTCGCTCAGCACTCCAATCCAATCACAAAGCCCGATTGATTCTACCTTTTTAAGTTTTTGGATTCCAACCATTTCTCTATATCCTACTGATTCTGTTTTAGGAAAGGTCCTCATTTCTTGCCTGAATTGCTTCAACAGGCTGTAAACAGTTTTTTTGTTTGTTTGTTTGCCCTTCAATCCCTTTCCTTCAATTATGCCACAATTGTTTTTCTACAACATAAGTCTTACTGTGTTGCTTCCTATCTTAGACTTCTTCAAAGGCATTTTATAGCTTGTCTGATCAAGTTCAGGTATTTCAGGGGGCATACAAGGCTCTTTTTGATCCGGCCTCCATTTTCCTCTTGAAGCCATTTCTCACCGCCCTTCCCCAGCATCAGATGCACCTGTAATACTCAGTGATCGTGGCTTCTCAGGCATGACACAGCCCATGTCATCCAGGGGCTGGATGGGTGCTGTGCGTTACCAGGCGAACTCCTGTTCATCCTTGGCATAGGCATCGCCTCCTCCAGGAAGACTTCCCTGACTTCTATGCAGGATAAGGGCAATCAGAAAGGAGTGGGCAAAGTACAAGAGCAGCTCTTAGAGGCCTCTGCTTATTTGGGGTTTGATCTTTTAATTATTGTGGCATGTGAGTGAGGAGTAGTATCCCAGGGAAGGGCTCAGAATGTGGCTTTTTACCAATCAATACGAAAGTATTTTTAATCTCTGAAGAACCCATTTGACCCTACTCGTGCATACCAGCTAGCTCAGTCCAGCCCCTTGTACTCCTGTTGCATCCCATGCATCCTCTACAGATTACGAAGGGCTGTAACAGTCCGTTAGATATTTTTCTCTAGCACTGACTGGAAGATCCTAGGTAACGAGGACTTATCTTACTTAACGCTGAATCCTCAGTAGTTAGCACACAGCAGACCTTCAAAAAATGAACAAACAACCAACCAGAATGGACTCTGAGTACAGAGGGTAACATTGGCTTTGGTACAAGAGAGTAACCTGGGGAGTGTGGGAAGACAGGGGACCCTACGCCCACAAGCTTGTAGATGGGAGTATGATAAGAGACGGTATTGTCCTTGCACAGCCTCTGTGTTCCGTCCATACGCCCACCCCCTCACTACTCCCAGTCTAGGAAGTAGGAAGCACTTGGGTAAGATGGCATCTGATTAGTTACTCCACTGTAAAGTGCCTACCCCTCCGCCACCCCTCCCTGGCTTTCTATTTAAGAAATATGAGAAAAAAAAAATATGAGAGATACTTTGAGACCATGTAAATATCCTATTTCTCATCATCTCACTCACCACTTTTAGCATCCAATCCATTGATGCCTCTTTCTAACCGAAGTATAGTTGATTTAAAATATTGTATTAGCTTCAGATGTACAACATAGTGATTCAATATTTTTTATAAATTATACTCCATTTAAAGTTATTACAAAGTAATGACTGTATTTCCCTGTGCTGTACAATGTAAACTTGTCGCTTATCTATTTTATACGTAGTAGCTTATATCTCTTAATTCCATAACCCTCTTTTGCCCCTCCCCTTCCCCCCACTGGTAACCACTAGTTTGCTCTCTATATCTGTGAGTCTGTTTCTGTTTTGTTACATCCATTCATTTGTTTTATTTTTTAGATTCCACATGTAAGTGAAATCATACGGTGTTTATCTTTCTCTTTCTGACTTATGTCACTAAGCATAATATTCTCTAGGCCCGTCCATGTTGCTGCAAATGGCAGAATTTCTTTCTTTTTTTATGGCTGAGTAATACTATCACCAAATGATAATATTCTAATTCCATCATTCCCTCAACTGTGAGGAAGAGCTTTTCAGGATTTACTCTTAAAACAAACTAGCAGTAGGTTATCCCTAATTACCATGGACCTGCCCACAGTCCCTGCAAAAAATCTGGCAAACTCCTGACAGAGTACAAATCTCATTTGTGATGTCTGACAAAACTTCCACCCAAATTGAAACAGCTTGTATTGCACCCTCAACTAGAATTTACAAAGTAAACATATGGCTGGCTACAACTGCCTACACATGAGAAAAACCCAAACACTGAGCGCTTTTCTCTTTAATCAAAATCTCAGTAGACTTAAGTCTGTTTAAAACTTTCCCCCCCTCAAGGAATCAATCAGGCAATACAGTCTTGAGAACCGTAAAACAAATAAATTTTAATATTTTATTGCACTTGCCAGTGTTAAGTGGCAATCAACATAAACTTGATTCCCCTCCATCTGGATCCAACTACAAGCTCAGAATCTGTAGTATCTGAAACAGCACCCCATGGAGACCTTTCTCTAAGTCTTTCCCCCAAGTTGCCCTCCTTCTACTATAAACAGTAACCTCAAAGAGCTATTATAAAGTGTGTGAACAATATAAATCCATTTTGTTTATTTTACACTTAAGATTATATTCTGCAGAATATATAGCTGACCATGAAATTGATTTGTAGAGTTGGGGCCATCTAATATGACATTTTCAACAGTCTGTGGATTTAAATTTCCTGCAGTATACACATATGCAAATTCCTTGTGAATCCGGTAATATGACTAAGCTAGTAAGACTAGTACTAAAGTAGTAACATAGGGTTCAAGCTGGAGCTAGGCAGGTAGGGTTTGGTTTAGCCAGGCTTCTTAATCTGTGTGCTGACAAATTCCAGGCCTTGGAGCTGATGCCTTGTTGGTGAGTCATGAAAGAAGAGAAAGTAATTTGAAAAGGACAGAGAAGTCATAGAACGTAATGCACCAAAAGCTTGAAAAACTATTTTGGACTTTAAGTGCAATGGAAAGTGGTTCCTTGGAAAGCAGAAAAGAGGAGAGAACGTGATAGGAAGTTAATAGGAGAGGTCAGTGGCTTGGTGTGTTTTCCATGGAGAGAGGAGCAAAGAGAGAAACGTCAGCATTCTTGCTTCTAGCAACAGGGTGGTCAGTAACAGGTCACAGATGTTTGGTTTTCCTGTTCTGGGCATGTAACTAGGATAACACTTGTCTACCCAGCTTGATTCAGGCAAAGCCATGGGACTTGCTTTGACCATTACATGTGATCAGAAAAGATGTGAATCACTTCTGGGCAGAAGCTCTACGAGCCAGTGTGTGTCCCTGCGATCCTGGAAGCAACAGCCCAGGTCCCTGAGTGACTCCTCTTTGTGGATGGACAGTGTGCATGTTTTAAGCCAAAAATAAGGGAACAAACAGCTCATCATAAAGGATGTTGATTATCTATCTAGATAATGAAAAAGTAAAAACTATCAATCATATTCTGTTAGAAGATAACTTGTTACTATGTGAGTTTGTCCTGTTTTTTCTTTATAAATACTAATACTTTTTACTGTAGATGGGAGAAAACAGAATACGGTTCTATATCCCACTTTTTTAAACTTAAGATTGTGAGCCAAGGAAGGAAAGGAGAGAGGCAGGGAGAAAGGACACTAATATCTGTGGGCCTGAAAGTGTGAAGGCATCAAGGTATTGCTGGAAGCGGTTTCTGTCAACGTGTGTGTGTGTGTGTGTGTGTGTATTTAACAGTAAGACATTCGTTTGAAAAAGAAGAGAATCCGTCAAAGGTAGTAGTGAAAAATAATTTTGGAGATCTAAGATTCGAGGGAATACTTAATCTCTCCCCAAGCCTGAGCCCAAGCATTTATGACCATTATTTACAATCCCAGACATTTCAGAGATTAAATACTTTAAAAATTTTCTGCTTACCCACTCTTCCTTTGAGGAACTGCACCTCTCTTTGGACTTGGAGTGATGCTGGAGCCTGCCAGTCACATAGGACAGGGGTGGACACATGACCTAATCTAGGACAATCATTCTCTCTCCCCTGGGAAACTGACAAGAGGTAGTTGAAGTCAGATCACTAAAGGAAATATCCTCCAGTTTCTCCTAAGTCTTACGTTTCCTGAGGTTTGGTTTGCAGCTCTTCTGTTCTATCAGCTACTTAGTATACTCCCAACAAATCCCTCCTCGTTTGTTTTGATGTTTGCAGGCAAAGCACTTTATTTCAGACTTAAATGCATCTTCACGATCACGACATGGACGTCAGGGGGTGTCACAGTGGAAGAGATGCGCTGTGGCCACCAGAGTCCCAAGAGGACTTGCCACACATAGATGAAAGGACTCTTGTTAGAGTCCTCTGGCAACAGAACATAGTGGGACGCAATGTCCTGTTGGAACCAATGCTAGACCAAGAGAAGATCAGAGCTGTTGTCATAGTGCTGCCATCTTTGCCACCTCTCCGTCTTTCTTTTCTGTGCTGCCACAACCTAGTATCTGAGCTGTTCTTACAGCTTTCTAGTCGGTCTCTCTTTCCCCCTTGCCTTCCTCCCACTTCTCACACCTGTCACCTCTAATATATCCATAATGCTGGGAGGTTGCAATACTCCTTTTCAATCACTATTCACTTGGTGGAGACACCATACACTCCTATAGTAAAAGGCAACTGCAAAGACCACGTTGCATATGTGCTATTCTTAGCCTGATGGCTGTAACTTGTAATTCCCCTCCATGAACCCAGGAAAAGCAGTTTAGAATCTCTAGTTCATGCCGATGCTGGATAATTTTCCTATAATGTGCATTTGATAATCTCCCCTCTCTGTTGAAAACCCTTCAGGAGACCTCTATGAGATGAAGCTTTCACTCCTCCGTCTGGCATTCAAAAACCTCCATGACCTGGTCCCAGTCTAGCTTTCCAGCCACGTCCTATAACTGCCACAGCTCAAATTCTCAGCTCTACCCAAAGACCTCTACTCACCTTTCCCTGAGTGGGGCTTGTTTATAGCTCGTCGTTCAGGTCTTTGCTGAAGCCAGCAGGCTGTTCTTTCTCATCTGAAATGCTTCCCTTCCAAAATCTTACCTTCAAAGTATAGCTCAGCCTCTTTCTCCTCCATAAAGACTTTATGGATAGCTATCTATAAAAATCATAATTTCTCTCTGTATTTCTATATACTGCATATTTATTATCACTATCACTCTTAGAGCATTTCTCCTGATACTATCTTGAACTCTCAACTTTGTATATGTTCCCAACTAGATTAGAAGCTCCTGGAGGGCAGAACTGAAATTTGATCTTTCTTTTATATATATCATAGTGCCTTCACTCAATAATTAACTGTAGAACTAATGAATCAGTGAGCTGTTTCCTTAGCTCCCTATGCAAGACAACGGTGCTTTACTCCAGATAAACTGGTCCTCAGATATTCGGTCATAAATCATTAGTCCCCTGGTAGGAGTCAAGAGGCACCCAGGAAGCAGGGCTAAGACTGAGCTTTCCCGGTTGTGTTTTGTGTTTCATTATTTCCTTCCCTTGCAGAGGCCTGTTTCAGAGATACACCCTAGACACACAATAGTCACATTTTTATAACTAAAAACAAATATAAATAACTGTAAGCTGTTCTCTTGTTATAAATGCCACAGAAGACGCAATATTTAAAAAAAGAATAGAACTGCTTTAAATCTCAAAGATAGATTCAAACTATAATTCTAAAGTGAAAATACAAAATGGTCTGGACAGTTCAAAGACTTTACTTACATTATAAAAAGACTTCATTATAAAACACATAGGTTTTTTTTAAACCTTTTAATATATGATACTTCAAATGTAACACCTACATATTATTTGCAAGTACAAATTATACCGCAAACTTTTGAATGATAAAAACTATCATTCCACAATATGCTCGAGTCCTAGAAACACATTTTGTTCTCTAATAAAACACAATAAACTCCAGCTTACCTTATATCACATTGTCATAAATTTTAAATTAAAGGAATTGGGACTAATTAGGTTTCCCGAATATGCTCATATTATGTGAATTGCTGTGATGGCTGAAAGCTACTAACCTGAGTCATCTTGTAATTACAGAAAATTACTTCTTGTCTTTGTGATTCATGGCAGTTTCCACCCTCAGAGAGTGATAGTTGTTGTTCATAATTTTCTCAATGTGTAATGTAAATGCAAAGTAGTAGGAGTGGAATCAAATAGCGAGGCCCTTCACACGACAAACCACTCTGTATGAGCCTTTGAAGGGAATACAGGACCTATTAGGAAAAAAACAAATACTAAAGTTCATTTTACATAATAAAAATATTGAACCAGCTACAGCCCAGGTTGACCTCTTGACATATGCATAAATTACCCAGAGAAGAAGGGATTAGAAAGAACTGTTAATATATGAAACATGCCAGAACTATGAGTAGTTTCTGAATCAATTCCTCATCTTTCTGTAAAACATACAGTACTTACTCCCAAAATTAAATTGGATGATTTCATCTTGTTCCTTAAAAAGTTACAAGCACTGAGAGTCATCTTGTTCCTCAAAAAGTTACAAGCACTTTGAATCCAGTGGTTTAATTAAATGTAACTATTTAAGAGATATGACTAAATGTTATTAAGTCATTCCAGTACAATTTAACTGTTCAATATTTGCTCATATTATCAGCTATTTCCGTGTCACTTTGACAAGTATTCCTAGTTACTCTTCGTTGTTCACATTTATTTTTTTCTTTTTTCATAATAGAGCAGGTCTGTCATGAAGCTCATCAAAAGACTCTGATTTACTTTAAAAAAAAAAAAAAAAAAAAGGACCTTGTACGACAGAAAGCAGTTTGTAATGGAGAGGTCTTAGGATGTAAAATGAGGTCTGAAGAGATGTCTGGTGCGGTAGGAAAAGCCCATCCTGTAACACCTGGGGCCCTGATTCCTTACCTGTAAATGAGGCACGTGGACTTTAATCTTGATCATAGTTCTCAACCATTTTCCTCGGTCTTCACATCCTTCGTGTGTGCACCTCAGTGCCACGAACTGTACCCCTTTATTACACACAGTGATTCCCAGGATGATCCCCGAACTCCCCCGAGCTCCCCATCCACCCCACTCTTGGTCTCTCTTTAAGAAGCACTGATTTGGGTGTGCTTTGGAAAGCTTCTCTCTGGTCTTCAGAATATGCATATACATTTTAATGTGTTATCTCTCACACGTCATATGCAGGTATACGATCTGTACCACTGAGAGCCACGAAGCTTGGCTTTTTAGGAAGAACATTTAGGAAGAGTCTTGAAAGAACTACTAGCCAAAAGATCTCATCTTTCCTTTTGCAATTTTAGAGCCTGCCTTAATCATAAAGGAGATGATGTTGTCGTCTGAGCCTCCATGCTAGTGGCAAAGCTAAAGGCTGTCCCCTGGGATTCACCCTTCCTGCCCTGACCTAAGGGCTGCTTTGTCACCAGCCACCCTGGCTGTCTAAGCACCTTTCCTTCAGGCATTAGTGCCCAAATGCATTCACCCTCTCAGATATGCCACTGAGGACAGAGTGTTCCAAGCCTTAGTCACAAAGTGTAGCAAATGAAAAGAATTTCAGATAGTGCAGCAGGCATGTGTGAGCTACTCGGGTGAAAGCAGGGGTGGGGAACTTTTCTTCTATATCCCCGAATCATAGCCCCCAAACACCTATAATGATAATTGACTTTCTATAAGTTTTCTAAATTATGATCCAAATTTTCCTCTCTTGAAAACGAATCATGTTATCTTTTCCAAGAAGTTGCTGGGCCAAGACAAAATAGGGTAGAGTATCTATCTTTTAAAAAGTTGAATTCAAATGAGTCCTTTTACTTTATCAGCCATACATCTCTGGAGTATTTAGTATTAAAAAATGCATTCCTGGGCTTCCCTGGTGGCGCAGTGGTTGAGAGACCGCCTGCTGATGCAGGGGACACGGGTTTGTGCCCCGGTCCGGGAGGATCCCACATGCCGCGGAGCGGCTGGGCCCGTGAGCCATGGCCGCTCAGCCTGCGCATCCGGAGCCTGTGCTCCGCAACGGGAGAGGCCACAACAGTGAGATGCCCGCGTACCGGGAAAAAAAAAAAGTCGGATCTGATTCTATCGCTCCCTTCCTTAAAAGCCCTGCAAGCTTCCCATTGCCTGTAGGGTGACGTTCAGATTTTCTAGAAGCGTATGCAAGACGCTTCTCCATCTCACAGGTCCCGCTTCTCCTGCCACACCTTTCCTAACAGAACACCTCCTCCTTCCTCCCTCCCTGCTTCCTCACCAAGCCAGGCTCCTCCAGGCTGCCCAGCGTTGCCCCTGCCTGGAATGTATTCCTGCCCTCTCCCCCTCTTTCATCCTTCAGCACCCAGCTCAGATGTCATCTCTTTCTCTCGGTGTCGGGGTGGAGTCTCCACTCCAGCACATTTTATTGAAATGATTTCTCTATCTGTCTCCTTGAAAAGACTAGAAGCACCTCCAAGTCAAGAGGGTGGCTTTCCTCTGTTGGTACCTAGTAGGTATTCAACAAATGTTGGTTGAATGAATAACCAAGTAAAAATGGAGGGCTAATGCTGCTGAATTCTAGAGACCCCATAAGGAAACAAAGCTGTCAGGTCTTCACCACTCTGCTCATGGTGTCTGGCCACCCAGGCTTGGACGGTATTAATCTTAATTAATATTAATCTGACGCGTATGGATAGTTTATTTTAGGCACAGTTTTAAACTAGGAAAGAATAAGAAACAGACATCTAGAAGTAATGATGCTTAGTACTTACTATGCATTGCGCATGGTTGTAATTTCTTTACTATTATTATGTCTATTTTACAGATATGAAAACTGAGGTTAAGTAACAATTTCCCTGAGATCACACCCTTAGTGTCAATGGTGGTTTTACTCTGAGAATCTGTCCAGAGTCTGTGCTCCCACCTGCTACATAAAATGACCTCTAGTATAATGTTAAAAACAACAACAGCTAACAGACTCTGAGTGCTTACCACATGCTGGGCTCTGTTCTAAATGCTTTATGGGATTTATCTGATGGGAACGCAGACAGTTTAACCTAGTCATGATCTGTTTTCCTTATCTGTAAAATGGGATAATAATGCCTCCAACCTTTTGGGTTTGCAGTGAGGATTAAGCAAGATAATACATGGAAACACTAGAATTGTGCAGACCTACCTGCTTAAATGCACAATTATTCATGCAACCCAATGGCTACTCACAGCTTTAGGGAATAACGACAGAGAAAGTGGAAATGACACTCCTGGCTGACAGCGAAGTGGGTCCCAGCCCTAGAAGAGTCAGAAGTGTGAATGAAAGTCACACCAGAGCACCTGATGGAGGTAAACTCAGAGAGAAATGGCTATCACTGCAGCATTCATGTGCTGTTTTATTGGAGAGAAAAACTTAAGCCCCTCCAGGTGACCGCTGTCACCCTAATGTGACTTCTAGCCCATTTGTTGCTGCAGTTTGAAACCTCAGGGCAGTCATAGCCTCTCTAACCCTGCTTCCACTTCTGGAAAATCAGATGGTGGGATTTAGTTATGTTGAAAGTTCCATCCAGTTCAACATTCTCTGATCACACAGCCCAAGGCTCTGGTTGACCAAAATCCTTTATCAGCCTGTCCTTCCTTGCTGTCCCAGAGCAAAGCATCCTCCTTTTTTCCTTAAAGTCACCCTTTGTCCTGTGAGCACATTCTTTCCCCATCACAGAGGGACTTTGAGGCTCTCTGTATTCCCTCCATCTCCACTGGCAAGTTTCCTTTGTCTTCAAACCTGTGCACATGTGTCCCTGAACTTAACAAGTCGACAGGGAGGGAGGGAGGAAGGAAGGACGGGTGATGCTGTAAGAGTATGTAGGAGTCAGACCACATAGGACCTAGTTTAGCTTTCTAAGGAGTTAGATTTTATCCTGGACATAATGGCGAGCCATAGAATTATGTCAATGAGAGAAATGACAAAATCTGATCTGGTTTCCAGAAATCTATGGCAAGAGTGTAGACTAGTATTTTCCTGGACAGGTTCACAGAGAAAGAACCTAGTTAAATACTTTAGACAAAGAATGATATCAAGGACACTTAGGAGGGGGAAAGTACAAGAGATACTAAGGAGAGAGCATCACATTAATAGGACTTGGTGACTGATGAAGAGTTAAGGCAAAGAACACACTGAAGAGGAAGCGGTGATACTGATAAGGCTGATCCTGTAAGATCTGCCACCTCCATCCTAAAGTAGAGGGAGAGAGAGTGAGAATGAAAGGCAAACAAAAGGAAACTTCGGTAACGACCGTATATAAACTGTGACAGACGCTTCCTTTGGAATGCATGTGAATACAGCCAGAGAAGGTTACTGAAGATGTTTGCATCTACAGGAAAGCGGCTATAAGAAGGACAAGGTGTTGTAACGGAATTGCCATAGTCATCAGTAACACATTATATTTTATAGTATGGCCTGGGCTGTTTGTATATATTCCTTATGTTCTGTAATTGATGGCAACATTTTCCAGATAGGGACAGTGGATCTCATGATCACTGCATCCTCGTTGAGTATCGCAATTTACACAGCACTCAATCGGTGTCTGTGGTAAAAATATGTGAAGAAAGGCAGAAAGGAATAAAAAAGAAGGCCCTTTAGATGGTGCTGCAGTTCACTGTCAGAGGGAATACATCCGAGGGAGGGTTCAGGTTTGGACGTATTGTTTTTGTGGTATCTGAAGGACAACCAAGTAAGATGGATAATGAAGCTCAGGGGAGCAGGCTGGACTAGAAATCATTTAAAAATCATCATTATCCTAGGACTTGGCAGTGACATTTTTTTTTAACTTTTACCATTTATTCCCAAAGAGAGAAGGCATATAGTGTTCAGACACAACCAAATACAGTTTGGTCTGACTCAAATAGCTTAAAAAACAGAATCTCCTGAGCACCAGCCTGGTCCAGGGGATGGACCCAAGAGGCAAAGGCAAGGAACCAGTTAACGATCATTTCTATTTACATGGAAAAATCTCTGCAAAATTGAAAAATTAAAGTTGTTGGGCTGGTCTGGTGAAGAGGTAATAAGGTGTTTATTAAAAACTCTTTTTCACCCGGAGGCAGTTAGCATTTATAATTTAAAACCCAGCCCACCACAGAAAGGGAGTGAATTAAATCAAGAGATTGTGCAGAGCAAGAAAAAAAATGAGGTTAGGAGACCATGAATCACCAATAGTCAGCCCCAATACATGTTAGAGGAGAGGTTAGCCATGTGCTATTAGGGTTCTAGAGTAATTAGACTTAATCCAAGAAAT